AGGCGAAGCCTTATTAAATTAAATATGCTTTGAGAGTGCAGCGCTCCCTTGGCTTGCGGTCCTGTGATCGGCTGGCTGCATGCACAACTAGTTAACAGCCAAAATAACCACCCTGGTTTGGCTGACGTGAAGCTGTTAGCTCTCAGGATGTCAACCCCCCTGGCGAGGTGTTCTCGGCTATTCGGTAACAAGCCAGCTTGTTTCTTGGGTGCCTGTCAATGTTAATAAACGACATTAAAGATCTGTCCCGGGGGGGAAAAAATGGGACTTGAGCCATCATCTCATCTGTAGCGACACGTGAGGAAGCTGTGGCAGAGTCCTACCTGTCCGTGTGCATCGAAGGAAGTCCCTGCAACTTTCTCCTGTTTGCCTCTCCTGCACCTGTGCTTGGAGACACCCAACAGCTCGTGCCTAATGTTTGGAGTGGTTTTTAGCAGCTAGCCTTTGCTTTGGGATGTGCCTTTTTTTTTTTTTTTTTGTTAGATCAAAAAGCCCTTTGGTCCTCCGAGCTTATTCCCTCTGGAAGTCCTTAGAAACAGTGTTCCAGTCGCTTCTCGGTCTTCCTGGGATAAACCGGGCAGATTAAGCTTGCTCTTTTGGGGTGAGTCTCGAGTAAGACTCACAGGATCAGGCCTTGGTCTTGTTTGTTCCTTCCTGACAGAGCCATGTCAGGGCAAAATGTGCATGCTGGTCTTCTGGGGGGGTTAATGCGTGGCAAATTAAAATAAAGGAATCAATATACTGTATAAATACCTCAGGATCGACCTCTTCCCTTGTGTGCTTGTACATACAGATGAGGCATGTTGCAATAAATCAAAGTATACCTTTAACAACACTGTAGGAATTGTATCTCAGGGCTGCAGGGATAAATCAAAGGTTTTATCATTCTTTCATCAGTAAACACTGCAAACTATTGATTAGATGGTGAAACGTCCAGGACAGCTTTTGACTAGCAGGTTTTTTGGCTTCTTCAGCCTCTCTGAACTGAACCCAGGTTGCTGGTGACAGCAGGAGCGCCCACGTGACAGTTTAGCCTGTAAAATGGCTTGGCCCTTCTACTTCCGCCCAGCCCTGGGCGTCAGCGATCGAGGATGGCACCGATGAGGATGAGGAGCGACGAAGGATGTTTCCTCAGCATCATCAGCTCCTGAAGTCTTTTGTTTCCAGCCTTTCCTATTTCATAGTCCGTGCACCAGCGCTTACCGGAGCAGTGCAGCAAAACCCATTACAGCGCTGCGATCCGACTGTGCTTGCCACGCTCCTGGCTGACTTACAGGCACCAACCAGCAAGAGGAGGGGAGAAAAAAAAAATAGTATTTCCCTCTTTCCATCAAACTTCAGGCATGCTAATTACTGAAATTAATTATTTGGATTGGATACTTTAAAAATATCTTGGCAAACAGTGCTAATTTGGAAATAATCACAATTCTAATTTGACAGAAAATGATCACACTCTGTTCACTATGATTTTTTTTCCCCCCCCCTCTCCCCACCCACGCGCATACACAGTCTGCTGCAGGGTATCTGAAGGAAATGAGATGTACAGTCTGTGTTGCCTGGTAAAAGTCTATTTAAGTGATCCGCCTTAGACTTGGTTGGAATATTAGGCGGTAAAACGGGTTTTCTAGAAAATGAGATTGAATGGATTTACTGGTGCCAGGGGCAAAGATTCAAGAAAGTCAGGGGGATATGGTGACATTTGGGAAGCAAGAAGTACTTTTTCTTTCCTAATGATTCACATACTGAGAAACTGTAAATTGAACAGTGTTTTGAAACACGGGGCCTGATCCTGCTCTTACGCTCGTTTTAATAGAAGTTTTGACCTCCCTTATTTCATTGGTTTTAATCCTGGGGGAGAAGGATTAGATATAACTTCTGAAATGATAAAATCTAAAGCATCTTCCTCTGAGGTAGTGTCCTTTGAGGAGTGTCCGTATATATTTTATATATATGTGTTTACCTATATATATGCAAAATAATGTAGTGGCAGGCTCTGCTCCAGCAAAGGTTTTATGTTTTGAGGAGAAGGGGTGGGGGGGAAGGGAGTGA